CTACTACTTTAAATAATAAAGTTCAAGTGGTAAAATTTGTTAAAATTTGTTAAAATTTGTCAAACAAATGCAAAGTTGAATGTTGAAAGGCCGAAACAATTCCATACTACGGCAAAGCAACAAAAATTCTACAAGCAAAGATATGCCAAAGAGTCAAGTGCAAAAAGATTTCATAGAAAAGAGGGAAGCTTTTCTAGAAATAAAGTTGGGAGATTTTATCCCACTCAAAAGGATTGGTTGTGCAATAGATGTAATGCTTTTTAAAGACCAAAGCAACAATCCTCTTCCCAGGTGCCAAAATATAAAAATGTTTTTCAAAATCCGGCACCAAAAATATTTTCGAAAGTGAGTTATGATTATCATGTTTCAAATGGTTACAAATCACCCAATCTTAATTCAATAAGATCTAGGTGGGTTTGGTTACCAAAAATCACTAACACCAAAGGACCCAAGCAAGTATGGGTACCTAAAGTTAATTAATCTTTTTTGCAGGATGTTTGGTACATCGATAGTGGTTGCTCACGCCACATGACTAGAAATAAATCATATCTAGTGAATTTCAAAGAAATCGATGGACCAAAAGTTATATTCGGTGGAAATCAAAATTATGGTATTACAAAAGGAGTTGGCACGATCAAGAAAAATGGTTTGAAGATTGAAGATGTTTCTTTCGTTGAAGGATTAAAATTTAATTTGTTGAGTGCTAGTCAATTTTGTGATAAAGGCTATCTTGTAGAATTTTCTAAAGATAATTGCCTAATCAAAAATGAGCTCAAAAATGAGATTATTTTATCTGGAAAACGTCGAAAGAATATGTATATTGTTGATTGGAGTACAAGCAAAGATTCAGTGTGCTTAATGGCCAGAAATTCGAATGAAGCTAATAGGGAATGGCACAGAAAGCTCAACCACTTAAACTTCAAGACTATCAATCAACTGGCGAAGAAGAATCTAGTTGAAGGCTTGCCAGATATTATCTTCAAGAACGAACAAGTGTGTGATGCATGTCAACGCGGAAAGCAAATCAAATCATCATTCAAATCAAAGACACACGAGTCAACGTCAAGACCGCTAAGCTTGCTACATATGGACTTATTTGGACTGGTTGATCCAATAAGTGTAAGTGGTAAGAAATATACTCTAGTTGTTGTTGATGATTTTTCCAGGTACACTTGGACCGTGTTCATCAAGAAGAAAAATGAAGTTGAGCAAGTTCTACCGAAGCTGTTGAAGCAACTACAAAATGATAAAGAATTGCAAATATCAAAAATACGAACGGATCGCGGAACCGAGTTCGTGAATGGAGTTATACAAGCTTTTTGCAATTCACTTGGAATTTCTCATCAATTATCTGCCGCAAGAACACCGCAACAAAACGGTGTTGCCGAAAGAAGAAATCGGACGCTCAAAGAAGCCGCACGAGTGATGATTAGTGCTGCCGGTCTCCCGAAACGCTATTGGGCGGAAGCTATCAACACTTCTTGCTACACACAAAATCGAAGCATGATCCATAAGTAGTACAAGAAGACGCCATATGAGCTTTATAAAGGGAGAAAACCAAATATTGGTTATTTTCATATTTTTGGATGCAAATGTTTTATTCATATTAATGATAAATTGCATCTAAAAGCTTTTGATGAGCGTGCAGATGAAGGAATTTTTCTAGGATATTCAGATACCAGCAAGGCGTATAGAGTTTTGAATAAAAGATCAATGGTGGTTGAAGAATCCATACACATGGTATTTGATGAAAAATCACAGATCAGTAATGGCATTCTGGACGAAGAAATTGCACAAAATGGTAACAAGTGTCATATTGATTTTTGTGATACTAATGATACGTGTGAAGATGATGTTTTGCAAGAAATGGATGAGTTGGAAATTAATTCTCTAGAAAATCCCATCCCTCATCCAGAAGAAGTTGGAAATTCTTTTAATAATGGTTTTGGAGGTGAAGCCGCACATGGGAATAGTGATGCAGCACGGGTTGATGATCTAATTAGTGATCAAGTTACTGGTGAAGTTGGTGATCAATTCCAAAATGAATTAAATGTGGAAATTCAAACCAACTCTTCCAGTACACAACAAATGGATCCACCCAGTACCATGCACCCATTTCAACCAAATTTAAGATGGCTCAAAAATCACCCTCCAGAATTAATTATTGGGAATATTCATGAAGGCGTGAAAACAAGATCATCTACTATGGAAGCATTGTTCACGTGTTATCTATCTCAAATTGAACCGAAAGAAGTGCACGAAGCTCTTAATGATCCGGATTGGATAAATGCTATGCAAGAAGAGCTCGATCAATTCAAAAGAAATGATGTTTGGGAACTTGTTCCAAGACCGGCGAACCACAATGTTGTAGGAACCAAATGGGTCTTCCGGAACAAAGCAAACGAAGAAAGCGTGATTGTTAGGAATAAAGCAAGGCTCGTTGCAAAATGATACTCGCAAGAAGAAGGAATAGATTTTGATGAAACCTTTGCACCGGTGGCCAGACTTGAAGCAATCAGAATTTTCCTAGCCTACGCCGCACACAAAGATTTCACTGTTTATCAAATGGACGTGAAAAGCGCATTCTTGAATGGTCTACTCGAAGAAGAAGTTTATGTCGAACAACCCCCAGGTTTTGAGGTAAAAGGCGAAGGTGATAAAGTCTACAAACTTAAAAAGGCATTGTATGGGTTGAAACAAGCACCTAGAGTTTGGTATGATACTTTGTCAATGTTCTTGATAAGCTGTGGATTCACCAAAGGCCTTGTTGACAAAACTCTATTTAGAATTCAAGATGGTGATCATATTTTATTAGTGCAAATTTATGTTGATGATATTATTTTTAGAAGCACTAACAATTCTTTGTGTGAGAAATTTTCGAAGCTTATGCAGAACAAATTTGAAATGAGCATGATGGGTGAATTAAATTACTTCTTGGGCTTACAAGTCAAACAACTGAAAGAAGGAGTATTCATCAATCAAGCAAAGTACACTCGCGACTTGATAAAGAAGTTTGGCCTTGATGGAAAATCATCGATCAAAATTCCAATGAGCACATCAACAAGGCTAGACAAAGATGAAGATGGAAAGGATGTCAATCAAACAAAATATAGAGGAATGATTGGTTTTCTTCTATATCTTACTGCAAGCAGGCCGGACATTTCTTATGCTGTGGGAGTGTGTGCAAGATTCCAAGCAAATCCAAAAGAAAGCCACCTCACCGCAACAAAGAAGATCATACGATATCTGAAAGGCACAATCAATGTTGGATTGTGGTATCCAAAAGGTACAGATTTTACTCTAACAGGTTTTTCAGATGCGGATTTTGCAGGTTGCAAGATAGATAGAAAAAGCACTTCCAGGACATGCCAGTTCTTGGGGGAAGGCTTGTTTCTTGGTTCAGCAAAAAGCAAAATTCCATCGCAACTAGTACCGCTGAGGCCGAATATATTGCTGCAGGAAGTTGTTGTGCGCAAATTTTGTGGATGAAGCAACAATTGAAGGATTACGGAGTTAATTGTGATGACGTTAGTATTTATTGTGATAATACTAGTGCAATCGCTATCACATACAATCCGGTGCTTCACTCAAGAACCAAACACATCGACATTCGACACCATTTTATAAGGGATCACGTTGAAAAGAAAAATTTGAAGATCGAATATATCCCTACGGAGAACCAAGTTGCTGATATTCTCACGAAGCCTTTATGCGAAACGAGATTTTCAACATTAAGGCACGAGTTGGGAATGATCGAAATGAGCTAAGTATCACTGATCTTAATCTCTCAATTTAAATTGATACTTGTGCTCAAAATTAACTGTTTTACGTGGATAAATTGTTTTAAGTGTTTATATGCATGTTTTTATTCGAAATGTTTATGTGATAAAATTGCAATATGTGTTAGAAATTTATTTGTGAATTTGCATGTGTGATTTAACGTGAGATCATATGCCATGCAAATTAATTTGATAAAATGTGCAATTCGTGATTTATTTGATCATTTGTTTAAAATTGCATGTTTTAATGTGTTAATCAGTTTTTGAGTATGTGTTCATGTTTCTGTAATTTAACTAATTTGTTTGCATGAACAATTTGCTCTAAAATGTGTTTTACCGTGTTTATTTATTTAAATATATATATATATATATATATATATATATATATATATATATATATGTGTGTGTGTGTGTGTGTGTGTGTGTGTGTGTGTGTGTGTGTGTGTTTTGTGTATATGCTTATATGAAATAATGTGTTAAAATGTTTTAAGTTAATATTTTTGTTAGTTTCTAAAATTTTTTTTGGAATCTGATTTTGCATGTTTATTTTATATAAAGTTGTTTCTAATTATAAAATTGGAATATGTGTTTTATATTTGTTAATTTCCAAAATATGTGTGCTTTAATTGGCAAATGCCGTGTATATGTGTTTAATATTTTGGTATGTGTGATTAATTATTTGTGGAGTTATTTTTGCTACTAACGAGATGTTTGAGTGTTATTATATCTGTGGTACATGTTTTTGAGAAGGAAATCAGGAGATAAAGGAGGAAAATCAGAGTTTAATTGGGTATCAAACCTCCACCCATAAACTCCTACACTTTCTAAACCTCCACCCAACCTAAAACCTCCCCCCATAATCCTCTCCTAGATCAAATCTTTCCAAACTGATCTACTCTCTCTCTCAAATCGGCACCCCATACCTTCTCTCAGCTTAATAATATCAATCGTCTCCCACAGAGCAATTAAAACCTAACCCCTCATTCAACTCTCCCCTCTAAACCGTTGCCCATCAAATCTCTTCCCATCCACCGCCATCTCGGCCAATGAGAAGCCTTGCCGCTATCCATCACATCCCGTAAACTCTAAACGACGGCAAGAAGTATTAACTCTCCATCGGCAAGTGAACTGATTACCCTCCTGACCGCCCTATATATTGGGAGAGCGCCGAGACATACCCGTTGTGGAAGATTTTGTTTTTTGAATTTTTGCAGGTGCAAGATGGTGTCCAACGAGTCTCTGGAAAACGAGATGAGGAAGCAAAGTCAGAGAACTTGGGAGAAAGTTCTCAAACAACCCCGAAGGGCAACGCGAACGGATGTACGCAGAAAGGCAGGAGAAACACCAAGCAACCCTCTAGTGTTAATATCTGAAGAAAAGGAGCAAGAAAAGGAGTCGCCACAAATTCAAGCTATAGCAGAATCACCACCGCGTGAACCTGGCTTCATATATGAAGAAGATGGGGATAAGAACCCGTTGGCAGAACAAGACAAGGTGGAAGGGTCTGAGCCTTCATTCATGAAACTCTCACCAGTTGTTCAACTGGATATGTATGCTGAGATTCTGAATATGAGCAATTCAGAATATCTCCACTATTTAAAACAACTGACTTTTGGACTGGTTCTACGTCCTCCCGGTTTTAGTTTTGATGGGCTCTATCAACCTCCTCCTCTACCAGAGCCTCTCCCAAAGTTTCCACCAAGTATGCCAGTTCTTGCACCAATGCCACAAGAGGTCCCTCCTCCTCCACCGCCTCCTCAGCAGATGCCACTCAACCCGTTCATCCGTCCTCCAGTGGACTTTACGAGGTTTTTCAATCAAACCTATTCTTCATCAAGTTCAAACGGGTCAATGTTTGAGGAAAGCGAGTCCAGTGATGACTCTGGACAGGGATATGCACCTTCACCGCCAGGAGGCTATGGGATTGGTGATGACTCAGATGATTGCATGAGCACTGGTTTCTCTGCTTGCTGAAGAAGTGTTTTGTTAACTCTCTCTCTCTCTCTCTCTCTCCTTCTCCCTAAGAAGGAGATGAATAAAATTATGGTTGTTTCTTTTGCTACTGGTTTTCTCTGACTTTCTATCTCTCCTACAAAATATGATAAATCTCTAAGTTCTTTAAAAAGAACAAAAAGTTTCGTAGCCAAAAAGATAAACAAAAAAAAAATATATGAACAGAAAAATTGATTATAAAAGCAATTAAAAAAAATGATGAATAAAAATAAATATTATATGGCTACAAAAGGGATAAAAGAATAAAAGAATTTAGAGGAGAAGTGTCAGAAGAATTAAGAAGAGATATACCAGTGGAAGTTGCAGTTGGAGTTGCTATTGAAAATAGGGAGCAATTATCTAGTGTACTGCCAGTACACAATACCGAGTCCACTATGCCTACCATGGACCCTGTTCTAGAAAATAAAGATTTATTTACAGAGAACTACACGAGAACAGAGGTCTTAGAAGAAGAAATTGGTGATCTCAATCAAGAAGCCGAATCACCTGAAGTAGAAGGGATGCAACTCATCGACACAATTATTCTCACAGATCCGAATAGAAGTCCGTTCGGATCCGCTCAAAATTTTGTGCAGATGGATGAACAAGAAGATGGCATATTTTCATCCTTATTTTCCAAGGTTGCCGAATCCAGTGATGTTGTATGTCAAACAATTGGAGAAAAATTGGTTGAACAAAATCAAATGCTAGAACAACAACACACGGATACCCGAGTCAATCTGAAAGAATTAATGGAGCATCAAAATTCTTTGAAGACTCAAATTGACAAATCAGAAAGAAACTTGAAAGGAGAAGTGACGAAAGGCTTACTTGAAGTCATTCAACTCATGAAAAAGGAACGTGAAGCTGCTGAAAAGATTCACAACGAACGTCACTTGAGACAGATCAAAGCAATTCAAGACCAAGAAAGCCGAATCAACAAACTTGAAGTTGAACTCGCAGTTACAACAAACAAGCTGGACAACTTACAAGCTGTTTCCATTGAAACGCACAACAGTGTTGAAACTGTGAAGGCAAACCAAGACCGAGACTTTAAGACCCTTGCATTTTTGGTTGATAACGCCAAAAGGGGGGAAGAAATACTCAGTCACTTGGGTTTGCAACAACAAGAATTTATTCTTGGAAGTCAACAACAGCCAGTAATATCGACTCAAGGTAGAGGCCGAAGTCGCGGACAACCCTCAAAAGAACCATCTCAGATTGGTTTTGCTCAGTTCGCGAATCCTAGTCTTGGTACGAGTACATCGAAAGTTGCTGAAACTCGTGGCTGGTTTGAATGCTCAAAAGGTCCCGCCACTCAGACAACCGTATGGACGAAGGAAAATTTACCAAGCATGATCAAGAAATGGCCTGCAGCTGATCAAGCCCAATGGATCTCGGGCAAAAATAAAGAAGAAGAAGGTAAACGGAGAAGAACCGAGATGTGGTATGAACTAAGAGATTTCACTGGAAATATGGGCGTGAATCTTGGAGAAGAAAGAATCTTCGAAGAATGTGTTGTATGGTGGGAAGCTGGAGTTCTTCCGGGCACCAACATCAAGGAAGCTTTTGGATTTTACATGGCTGGGCAAGTTACAAAGAGATTCCAGAATGTGAAATTCAAAGATGATTTCTTCAAGCTCAGGGAACATGTCAAGGATATTTTGAAGCAAGACATGGGGAGTGAAGAAACCTAGAAGGTAATCTGGAAAATTCTCTTAACCTGATATATTCTCTATTTTCGAACCTCTGTTGCGTTTTTCTCTAAAAATTCAAAATATATCAATAATAATTTCCCAAGGTCTATTTTGAGTCTTTAATTTTATTTTTTTAATGTAATTTGACTTTCGTGAATTAAAAGACAAGAAATATGTCAAACGCACGACAAAATTAAAAATGATGATGATCAAAATAAAAATAATTCAAGATGCGTTTAGGAGCTTGTCTAAAAATTAATTCACAAGTTTCTTTTGATTGTGTCTAGAAAACCATTTGTTAAACTCATCTTGGCTTTGTCAAATAAAATTGAGAAAAAAAATTATTTTTTCAAAGACTTAAAGCCAATGACTGAGTATAGGTTTTGGCAGTATCAAAAGGGGGAAAATTGTTAGGAATAAAGTGTAATGGTTTTGATATGCCAAATATGTATTTGTAGATCCCCCAATTTAATTTTATAGGTCTAGTAAAGTCTTAGACCATGATCGGGAAATTATTTAAGTTGCAAAAGAGAAAAACAGAGGAAGATGCATGAAAATGAAAGAAGAAGATATCAAGCCGAAATCAAGAATTTGTCTGGAGAAAATGGCAAATTGAAGAAGAAGTTGAATGGTGTAATATTCACGTCAATGCTACTAAAGAGATATCCCAGAAGAATTTTCGTTGAAGAAAATTACGATTGGAAGAATGCAAGAAATTAACTTGGAGATCAAGCATCTATGGAAAGAAAGGAATACACCAAAGAAGATTGGAGATTTAATCAAAGGTTGTACGGACGAAGTGGATGATGTTTGATATATTATGCGAAATGGCTCAAGTTTGAAACTCATCATCAACAATTTTACAAGGTAAAATTTGAGAAGTCAAATTAAATTAAATCTGATAGAGTTGGGCGCTAGTCTAGCATTGGGAGCCAGTTTCAGAGAAATTGAGATTAATTGGAATTGGGAGCTAGTTCAGAGAAATTGAAATTGGGAGCAAGTTTCAAATGGAACCAAATTCAAATTGGAGCACGAGGAGAAGTTGGGAGCCAATTGCATGTCAATTGCAAAGGAGAAATTCAAATTGGGTTGGGTCGAAGTTCAAAGCCAATTTGAAGTCTGAGAACACCAGACGTGAGAATGAAGAAGAAATTACAGTGAAAATATTCTCACAAGGAAAAATACTAGTCTAACTAGTATGGGATATGGGATTAAATTAAAGAATATTGACTAGTATGGGATATGGGATTAAATTAAAGAATATTTTTTATCCCAAAGATACAAGGACCACTTCAGAACTGATCAGAGAATTCATTCTACACCAAAACAGAGACCCAGATATTCCCACTCAACGTTAAACCAGAGGAATAGTATTCCCACTCAACGTTAAACCAGAGGAATATCTGATGAAGTTTGGGAGCTCATTTACATGGAGATGAAGATCCATCAACGGCTAGCTTATCTCTTTCTGACATCTTTGCCAAAAGATAAGATAAGATCTCTGACAAACAATTAAGATACTGAATTCAAAAATGAGATCGTCTCTATCCAACTCGCAGATCCTCATTACCAGCTATAAAATGATGAAGATGTGAAGACTTGAAGAAGCACGGAGCAGAGAAAAATATACGAGCAAGAGCTAAAAATTCAAAGAGCTAAAATCTTCAAGTGTAAGAAAAAGAACTCAGAGAGCTTCAAAGAAATATTCTGCGAGTTCTTAAACAGAGCATAAAAATCAAGTGCTTTACTTGATTCTTTCAAAGAGAGAAAACACTCAGAGCGTTCAAGAGAAATCTTTCAAGAGTGTTCATCTTCATCAAAGAGACCTGCGCATCATTGAAGATCAACTACAGAGTCTCAGAAGTTGGAAGCAAGACAACACTTGTTTTGGAGCAAAACAAGAGAAGGGAGGAAAGTAGCACGGAGCTGTGAAATCCTGGATTGTCACACGGAGCTGTGAGATCCGAAGCAGCAGTGTCGGAGGCACTGGGCGTGATTGGTGTGGTCTTGGTGATCAAAGCACCAGATCACGGATACGTTTCTACCAGAGTGTGGAAGACGGGGGGAAAGTAACGTGGAATCGTGAAATCCTGGGATAGTAGCGCGACGACGTGAAACCCGAAGCAGCAGTGTGGTGTCACTGGGCGTGATTAGTGTGGGCTTTGTGATCAAAGCACTAGATCACAGAAATTCATTGTATCTTGGAACCAAGAAGTGGTGGATATAGTGAATTGCTCTTGGAGATAAGAGCAAGTGGAGTAGGAGGATTACACCACCTCGCGAACCACTATAATTGTCTTGTGTTCTTTACTGCTTTCTTTACTTACTGCTCTTTACTTAATTGCTCTACACGAAGATATATCCTCACACAATCTCACACACACTTTATCTTTATGTATTTCCGCTGTGCACCATACTCTAACAATCTAGTTATGAGTTTTGGTTTATCTCTGTCTTAGCGATTGTTATGCTGTGCGAAAAAGTTTGAAAGTCTATTCACCCCCCCCCCCCCTCCCTCTAGACTTTCACCTTACCTCTTTTGGGACCAACAACACGCCTACGAGAACGATTCTACCCGACACACGTAAAAGCTTCTATGCACGAAGAGTTCCTCCACCTAAAACAAGGAGCGACCACCGTCACAGAATACCATAGATGATTCCTCGAACTGGCACGCTTCGCGCCAGAGTTAATCCCCATAGAATCAACTAATATATAAAGGTTTGTATCGGGCCTTAACTTCGAAGCCCGGAAAGCACTAGTAGTAAGCGGGCCCCGGACCCTCAACGAGGCTTACTCCAGTGTTGCCAACCTCTATGGAATCCAACTACTACAACGTGGGGTTCAAGATCAGATTCAAAAAAGGAACACAGGAGGAGGGGCACCACCAATGAAGAGAACGAGAATCGACACCAACACAAGGCCAAACAACCCAACTGGACAAAGACCACCCCCAAGAAACAACGAAACCAATATAGGAGGCTTCCATTGCCCAAAATGCAACCAAAGCCATAGAGGCAGAGACTGCATGGGGAACCCCTTGCGGTGCTTCAACTGTGGGAAAGAAGGACACAAGGCTTTCCAGTGCTTACAACCCTCAAGCTCACGCCCCATGAACATGGGCCAGCATGGAGGCACAAACAACCAAGGGAATCACGGTGCCCCCGGAAAACTATTCATCATGAACCGCACACAAGCCGAACTCGGGGACGAGGGCAACCTCAACGAAGAAAACATGACCCCGAAGAACGAGGATCAAGCGAATCCACCAGAGGAAAACCAAGA